CCGTGACGCGTAAAATATATTATACAGAAAGTGTGTAACACATTATTCACATATGATCAATCATAACTCCGTGTTTTCATCGTCATCCCAAACAAAATCATCAACGTTCTCACTTTCCTGATGCAATTTTGTTAATCCAGTAATTTCTTCCAAGTATGTTGGAGAATTGAAAGCTCGTTCCAAGAATTCAAATCCGCGAGTTTGGTATTCATCTATAATGAATTCTGAACAGGCTGTACATCGGTCATAAGCTTGTCCAACCACAATCATATTATTGAAGTGATTTAGAAATCCACGCATTTGATGTGGTATGATTCCAAGGGGGGAGGACGTGGAAGAATCCGTAGAACCGGACGGCTCAATACCCGTGTCGGCGGGAGCAGCAGGTCTATTGTGATTCGTCAATGAAATTCGTAAAATCGATGAAAAAAATGAACATCACAACATTAATAAATATCTACAAAATACCCTTTATCATGATGCAAGACAGAAACCATCAATTCAACGCCAAGCGCAGCAGCAATGGCCGACAGTCCAGGTCGTGTCACCGTGCACTGCTGGTCCAGCGTACGATCTTTAAGAGAGTTGACTGGAGCCACAACATCATTACAGAAATAACACCCAAGCTTCTTCACTAATGGAATTTTTATATTAGACGAGCTCGCCACTTGGGATTCTGAATCATCCTTCACTCCATGTCGCATTACAACATACGTATCAAAACCCAACGCGATATTTATAACTAGCTACAAATCAATTGAGAATGTGCGTCAAAACTTATATTACGATGGAAAATTTTCACCCAACTAATTACAGACCTTGCGCATCACAGAACCTAATAATGTGGGCAACCATCGACTCTCTCTACTATCCAACAACAAGAATATGACATCATGTGATTCAAAGAGTTGGACGAGCTTTTCCACGTCACTTCTAGTCCTGGTCTCTGAAGAAATCGGATGGCCTGGCATGGGAATGGTCAATTCGTGCCCCTCGCTCACCTAAGTTATTTCAAATTTTTCCTTATCAATTTGAAACGATACACGATCAACATCCACAAAAGTCTCTACATACGACTCCAGGATAAACTTTTTTCAAATTCTCTGCCGCAGTTTGCGCTTTTGGTTTACCACCATCCAAACAGTCGACAAAGAAAAATAATGGCTGCCGTACGGGATTGGAGAATGAAACACATGAGTTATCTACAAAAGTGATATGACGAACGCCCCACCCCTGGATAAAGTGGTCATGACTTTAATACTGCGATCCTCGCTTAACAAGGAAGAGGTCTAAAACAGTCCTACCAGCAAACACCTAGCGACATAGCAACCGAGAGTTCCAGCACCGAGTAGCAGACATCTCGTATCTTTAATCTTTTCTAGGTCTAACTCTGGAACGATTCTCCATCGCATGAGCTTTAAATTTAAGTCTACCGAAGTATCAGCCAACCTAGATCGTTGAGAGGCGTAAATGTCAATCACAAAGATGAGTTGCCAACAATCATTCAATTTAATAGGAATCAAACCTCTTTGGGTCCATTAAATGCGAAAGGTCAGCCACGCGAGGTCCAAGTTTGCCCTGAGAGTTCTTTTCCCAACCGACGGACTTCGGACAATCATCTTGTGATTGGTTAAATTCAAGATTACATGAGCACCTTTGTCGAACAAATAAAAAAATTGCATAGAAAAATTGATGTTTTATTCAATTCACCACTGAATTTTGCCGAGTCAGGCAAGGCCACAGTTAAAATACGACTTTGCGAAATGTCTTTTTTTCCTGGGATTTCTCGATAACATAATACTTTGATCCTGCGAACATTCCACTGACGTTGTATAAGCACCAGAAAATTTCGCAGAGGCCATCCAGGATTGTTAGGCAGACTTGAAGGGTCGGCGAATCCTATCATTTTCTTGTATGAAATTTTATAAAATTTACTAGTCATAATGACATTAAGGATTCAAGGCTTTAAACAGTAATAGATCTCTACCTCGCTGTCATCACAATCTTTAAAGAACGTGTCCCACTCAGATAACCTACCAACTTCAATTTCATAATCTGATTTTTTAACGAGGAAAAATCCTGCACACATGCTAGAATGTCTTTGCGTGAATGATTCGTAATTGTTTCTTAATGATTCTATCTATAATACGAAATGTACGAATAAGAAATTTCCAGTACAAATATGCACTTTCGAATATACAGTAAGGATGCTGGTCAACTAACCTCTTTCTCATTCCACACACTGTCAACGCCTTTGACCTGACCATCACCGCCAACCATCCACGGCGGCTCAGTAAGTAGAGCGGGGAAGCCAAACCAAAAATGATATTTATATTTTTTTAAATCGGCAAAGGTGACGAGGATGAACCGTGTGAGAAGATAAGGTAAATTTACTGCGGCGCCAGAAGTAATGTCCTGCCAAATCTATTAAACATAGTTAGCTATTCGAAAAATCTTGGTCCGAAATCCCGATCGGATGCTTACTTGCTCGGTGGCTTCTTTGAACAGCGCATTCTTATCGAGTTGTTTGAATTCTTCGATGGTATTTGTATTTTTGATCGTCCCAACCGAAGGAAAGGAGAATACCGGCAGACTGCGACAAGGTATGAATTATATATAAACTAGAAAATATTTAATCGTAGTATTAAGAATATACGTTCACCTTGAAATGGAATCGTCATTAACCTCGGGAAAAGCTCCCGTACCGAGACATAAACGCGCTGGTACAGCAATGCTTGCTTCGGTGGAATCTTGCGATTGCAGAGAGCGACCAGTTGAATAATAACCTATAATTTTCTTTGGAGCATCGTCTAATTTGTACAAATCAATTTTACGCGTGGATAAGCTATGCCAAAATGATGCCTCTACAGCCGAAGAGAAGGTCACGAATTGGACAAGAGGATCGGAAGACATTTTGTGAGTCGTGTGCGAAAGATCCGCATTGAATCTATTTTATACTTGTTTGGATTAATAAGGTCAAGATTAATTTAAAATTAACGACACACACCGAAGATCCTCCCTGACACAAGGCGGGGTTTATTGCGCTCGTTGCTGCGCATCGTGCAACAATACCTATGATAGAAAATAAAACTAGTGAAAGTTTAGGAACCAGCAGGCATGTGTCTCTGCGCCTAAACGTCAGCTACTTCCAATATATCAGTTTAACCGACAACAAAACCTTCTTAATATGTTTCAATACACTCGTACGCAGTTATTTTCATGTAACCGAATACTGTGCCACGCATTCACCGGATATTTAATCAATAAATCCATCTCTGTTGAAATTTCTCATCTCAGACGAATCGATAATGCTTTTTGGACTCATTTATTCTTCGAAAAAACCAACCTACGATTGTCATTATAAAAGGTAGATTATAACATCGAAAGATCCGGCCAAAGAAACAGAAAGCATCTATCTGGCTTTAATTTTTTTTTTTTTTTTCAAACCCTTTGTTTATATTAGTTACATGTACTTTATTAAATATTTGTAAACTATATACTGTATATCTATAGATCACCAAAGCTAATTCTCTAATTTAACTCACTGAGTTTAGTATAATTTTAGGATTGATTTATCACTTCATTAATGGTTCAAATGAGAATCCCCCTTTCAACATTTAGATATTTATTTAATATCTCCATCTCAATAAAGACACGCCATTACGGCATGATTGCAGGTTGAAAGCTATATTTTTAATATTAATTGGAATATTTACTTTAAAGAATTTTAATTCAAAGATTTACTGTATATAAAGATTTTATGATTTACAAAGTAATTATTAACATGTATAGGTGAAATAGGCGATTTTATAAATACAAACAGCGTCCCCGACATAAACAATAATTGATTTTTTTTTTTTTTTTTTAGTCGTCGATGAAGATCTCTTCTTTCTGTTCCTTGCCTTCTCCAACTGTTGATTTGAAAATTTATTAACAAACGGTTAGCAGATATTTATGAGGTCTTTTTTAAAGAAAACGAATAAATTGGCATGCAGGTAATCATCCCAGCATAAATCCGCCAGAAACTATAAAAAAAAAAAAAGAAGAAAACTTACAATGTTGCGTCAAACCTTTACGAAAATTTCTGAATACGAACACCCCCCAAACCAACGTCAACTAGGAAAATTGATGTGAATTTAATTTTCCAACGTATGTTGATAGTAAAAAATCGACTAGTAAAGATATGCATATCTTACCATTGTTAAGATTATGGCCAAAATAACTGAATGAAATGAAAATGGAAATGAGTCAAGAAAAATTTGAATGCAAATTAAAAAGGCAAAAAATTTTAATAGTCACCGAGGATTATAAAGAAATACCAGCTCTGCATGATATTCATTGTGGCGTGTATCAAAATAATTATAAAATCAGCGATAATACAGAGCAACAGTATGAGGTACGTTGTCATCCCAAATTTATTCTCCTTTCGTACCTATGTAATATTGCATTATTAGAGAATGCTAAACGTTCCTGTACCCTAAATAGATCAAAACTTACCGAGTAATATGCGAGAATTTCCGATAATAATATAATTATCGTCACGA